GCAGGATAGCAAGGGGCAGGGTAGAACATCAGCTCACGTAGCTGGTTTTCCTGGCGCCTCCTGGCGCCGGGAGGCGCCCGTGTATCGAGGAACGGGCCCGGAGGCGGGGCGGAAACCAGCTGCATGCAGCAGATCTCGTAAACTCCCCTTTCCCTATCCTCCCCTTTCGTCCGGCCCGAGATAAGGTCGGACGATCGCACTGTATCGTCGATGCATCACCGGTATCGGCGATGCATCGTCGATATCGGCGACGCATCGGCGACGTCGGCGTGGAGAAAATCGGGCTCCACATCGAGCCGCATCGCCGATTCATCGGCGATGCGGAGTGGTCTTCCGACCCCATCTGCTCGCACCCCATCTGGGAGGCCTAGACAAGGGTGGCAGCAAACATCGGCCTGGGCTGGAGCGCAAAAGTACGTACTGGTACTACATGTCCTCATCGGAGGTGTGATAGTCTCCCGAGCGGTATGGCCGCCACGGAGCTTATCCTAAAATGTCTCGGCGCGCGTGTCGCCTCTCCGGGGGCGACATACACGTAAGATCAGTATGTTTGGTTGGCGCCAGACATCCTGGTGCTCAATTTCTCCTATACAAGGCCTTCACCTCTGGCAAATGACCTGCTGCTCGCAAGCAGCTGCACGCCCTCCTGGCACTCCCGCGCTGACCTTCATGGTCTAATCGGGCCACGTCCGTGTCCCCACTCGCGTCTCTGGCTCTTTCGCTTCGTGCCCGCCATTGGCTTCTGGCTTCTGGTGCAGCCCACCGCTCGCTTTGACCAGCGCTTGACCGTCTCGCACACTTTGGCGCTCGCGGACCCAAAAACGTTTGGGTGGCGCTGATGGGCCTGGCGGCGATCTCGGACAGACACGCAAGAGTGACCCTGGGCAAGAGTAGCCTTTGGTGCGCGACCCTACGGAGGACGCGCAGTGGCCCGAACCAGGCGCGCAAGCCGCTGCTATCGCTTTGCGCTCAGCGATCGGGGGACCCCATTGGGCCCGCACCGAATCTAACTCCAGCGAAAGGTCACTTTCACAGTCGGACCTAGGCCAGACGAACATCCCTCAAGAACACGAGCACGAGACCCTCCGTTGGCCCAAACTGAAGAGCATTCGACGGTGCCCTCCCCCAGGATGCCCAAGAACATCCAACAAACACGAAAACATTAGGGTACCCTCCCCGAACCGACCTCGATCTTCCTCGGTCCCACTGTATGTTGTCGGAAGCGATGGCGGCGTGACTCTTGTCGGTCGGCTGGTATTGCCTCGGCGTCGGCCCTTGGGGGCCGTGCACCGGCCACCCTGGGGCCACCAACAAAAACGGACCTTGGGGCCGCGGATTTAAAAAAAAGATGGAGGGACAATCAACATCGTGACACAATCAGACAGACAAAAATTAGAAATAGAGTAAGTGGGCTTGGACGATGTAGTGGGCGCCGCGGCCGCGTCAGAGCGTTCCGGAGGGCTCCGAGGGCGTTCCAGAACGCTCTGGAATGGATTTATCTCGATTCTAGGTCCGTCCGACTGGGTCCGCGGATTGAAAACCATATGGGGGGGAAAGGAGGAGAAGGAGGAGGAAGAGGAGGAGAAGGAGGAGGAGGAGGAGGAGGGAGGAGGGAGGAGGAGGAGGAGGAGCAGAGAAGGGGTAAGAGGGGAAGGGATGAGGAGCATTGAGAGTGGAGGAATAGGAGGAGGGGCGTAGAAGGAGGATTTTGAGTATAGAGCTTAGAGGCGTAGGATAGGAGGAGGATTGTAGAGGAGGAGGGGCTGAGGAAGGTGGATTGAGGTGACTACATCCTGAGGAGTGTAGGAGAGTTGGGGAGTAGGCAGGTAGGTCTGAGGAAGAGGTAGGAGGAGGAGGAGGAGGAGGAGAAAGAGGATGAGGAGGAGGAAGAGGAGGAGACTCCCGCTGACCCTGCTGCTCCAGTTCTGCCGTCAGGAATCGGCGATACATCGCCGATACATCGGCGAGAGGCTCCAGATAGCACAGATCGGCGCGCGTCTGGGCAGGGTGGGCTATGGGCCCCTCCTCGGCGATCGGTGGGCGAATAGGGGTCGATGGTCGGGATACTAGCAGTGACATCAACATAAGTCTTTCGGAGGTGGGCGCGGATTTCTTGGATCTGCGCTGAACCCCTCCCCTGCGCGCGGGGCGGGCCAGGGGGCGGCGCCGGAGGCACCGCCAGGGGCTCTCAGCGCCGATCCCCGAGACATCGGCGCGGACCTCCGACAGTGCATGTTTGCGCCATCGTTTGTTCCCCGAGATGGCTCCCCCTGCGCCTCCTGTACGGTGGGTCCGCATCCCCCCCTGGATGCTGACCCTGAAGGTAGCGGCGGGGCAGGCAGTATACGGCTGCAGCGGGGGCGCCGCGGGCGCCGCCCAGGATGGTGCACGCGCGGCGGGCGCCAACACGCGCTGCGGGTATCGCCAAGGGGCGTCCCTGGCCCAAGCCCGGATCTGCTCGCGCTGTAAACCAAACAAACACAAGCACGAAGGACGGCTTTTGGCCAGCTGTCGGGCCTCTCTGGCGACCCTCGCCAGACCCTGGGAATGTCAGCAAACAGAACTCAGGACGAAAGACCAGCCATGGGGAATGTCCCCCTCTTGCTCCTCCTCCTCCTCCTCCTCCTCCTCCTCCTCCTCCTCCTCCTCCCCCTCCTCCTCCTCCCCCTCCTCCCCCTCCTCCGCCTCCACCTCCTCCTCCTCCTCCTCCTCCTCCCTCCTCCTCCTCCCCCTCCTCCTCCTCCCTCCTCCTCCTCCTCCTCCTCCTCCTCCTCCTCCTCCTCCTGCTCCTCCTCCTCCTCCGCCTCAATGGATCGAGGCCTGTGGGGCCCCACGGGGTAAATAACCCTGGCGACGTACCCAACCCTTGCGCAATGCGGGGCATAAGTACATCAGGATTGCTACAACGGGGGCGATGACGTAACATGGACGCATGTGATTTTGCGAGCAGCAATCGGAAGACTCGCAGGCCCCCGATCAAGTAAGGGCGTCGTAGTGGTTACTAACGCAGCCCCCACCCCCCGGGGACGGCGAGGTCTCGCTCAGGTCCCCGCGGTGCCTCACTCCGTTGGACCCAACAGTAGCCCTCGAAAGTGGCGACATTGTCGCAGATCGCAGCCCCCCAGGGACGGCGAGGTCTACCTCAGGCCCCCGCGGTGCCTCACTCCACTGGACCCACCAGCAGCCCTCGAAAGTGGCGACAGTGTCGCAGATCGCAGCCCCCCAGGGACGGCGAGGTCTCGCTCAGATCCCTGCGGTGCCTCAGTCCGCAGGACCCATCAGCAGCCCTCGAAAGCGGCGACAGTGTCGCAGATCGCAGCCCCCCAGAACGGCGAGGTCTACCTCAGATCCCCGCGGTGTCTCAGTCCGCAGGACCCACCAGCAGCCCTCGACAGTGGCAACGGTGTCGCAGATCGCAGCCCCCCAGAACGGCGAGGTCTACCTCAGATCCCCGCGGTGCCCAAGTCCGCAGGACCCACCAGCAGCCCTCGAAAGTGGCGACAGTGTCGCAGATCGCAGCCCCCCAGGGACGGCGAGGTCTCGCTCAGATCCCCGCGGTGCCTCAATTCGCATGACCCACCAGCAGCCCTCGAAAGTGGCGACAGTGTCGCAGATCGCAGCCCCCCAGGGCGAGGTCGGCACAAAGCAAGAGGAGACAAGAGGGGAGCGGGAGACGGGAGGCGGGAGGAGGAGGAGAAGGAGGAGGAGGAGGAGGACTTGAGACCGCAGTGCTCTACTTAAAACGAATGCCCAACCAAGGAAGGTTGGGAAAAATCACAGGAAGTCGGAGATCTGGAGAGGTACTGCTGGCCAAAACTGTCCCCTGCACTGCCCCCCGGGAGGGAGGCCCGCACGGCCTTTAGAGGAGCACCCCTCACGAGGTCCGGACGGCACCAGGGGGCACAAAATGGCGCGAAGAGCTGGGAACATCTCGGGGATAAAAGGAAAGATTTGGCGGCGAGCGAGGGGGCGAAGTGAGAAGGGGCGGGCCTTCTCAAAGGCTCTAGAGTCCCCCAGCCTTCTGAAAAGTTGTTTTACACAAAAAACCTCTCTGAAGGCCTTCTCCATTTCACCCCCTCGCTCGCCGTCGAGAGATACCGATGCCACCAGTTCCCGGACCTCTCCTGGGGTGCGTGCTGACCAGAACTTCGAGGATAACCCAGCCATGGCGGCGACGGCTCTCCAGGACGTGCAGCAGCACCCGCTGGTCGGAAGAGGTAGGTGGAGCATCAAGTGGGAAGGCGGACAAAGTAGACTGAATGCGGGCCCGCAACAAACAAACAGCAACACACATCGATGATTGAAGCAGGAAGGCGCTTGACGTAGATTGGGATCCGGATATCCAAACATACCTACTTTCAACGACCGGCGTGCACCTGTGTCTTCTCCTCCTCTGGACCTTGTCTTGTGCCAGGGCCACGCGTACAGCAGCACCCGAAGACGTCTGCTGGGATGCGGAGCGAACCCTGCCTGCGAGGGAAAAGCCAACACGGGGGATGGGCGGCGCGCCACTCGTGGGCGCGCGGGGCCACGCAGCTGGGGGGGCAAGGTCCCAGCCACCCCCGTGGGACGCAGAAGGGCGTACCGATACTGCCCACTGCTGGTGCTGGCCGCGCTTGTCCGACACGAGCGTACCCGGGCGTGCTCGCGGCGTGGAAGGATCACGACGGGAGGCGTTTGGCCGTTTTCGGCCGCCGCGGGCCCTCGCCAAGCCCAGGGACCGTCAGAAAACGGCTCGGGATGCAACACCAGCCCTGGGGAAAAGGCCGGGACTTCTGGGGGGCCCGCAGTGGAACAAAAAACAGGATTTCGGGTGTCTGGGTGTAGTACACAATTCTCAGAGCACATCGTCACCCAGGCGAAATGGCCAGAAAGCGCCCAGCACCTAGCACATACTATGAGATCTATCAGCGCTCGCGCCGCCCCCTGGGAGGCCGATGCACACAAAGTATCCGAGCATGCACTGGGTGATGCCGACCCCCTGGAGAGATGAGGCGCCCTCACGTCCAGTAGGCGGCCGTCAGGGCCGCGCCGAAGGCCTGCACGATGCCCAGCGGCGCCTGCGGCGGACCCAAGGCGCGCTGGCGGGGGGGCCAAAAGCGCACGGCTGCTTCTCTGACTCTTGAAGCGGCGTGCCTGCCTTCTCCTCCGACGTTGCAATGTTTTCGTGACGCCAGCCCCCTGGGGTGTTCGTCAACGGAGGGGCAGCAAACATGGGGCTAAGAAGCGCGCGCCCTTCGTGCACCTTTGGGGCCCACAGTGGCAGCTCAAGGACCATGCAGTGGGACGAACAGAGACATACTAATACTACACATCCTCCTTGGAGGCGCGCGGCCGACCCGAACATGTAATATACCCATATTGTAATAGATCGTTTCCCGAGCGGTGTGGCCAGACAGCGCCCGCCACGACGCATATACTATGAGATTTCTCGGTGCGCGCGTCGCCCCTTGTGGGGCGACGAACATGTAGTATCAGTATGTTGGGGTGACTGACGCCGATGTAGGGCAATTTTCCTGCAAATCCCCGATCCCCAAAACTTGTTTTGCCCCCCTCCCTTTGCCGCCCGCCCGACGCCACGGGATCTCGAAGCCACTTGCCCAGGGCCGCCTCTGCATCTCGAGTCGCTTTCTGACGGCCCCAGGAGGTGGAGGAGGAGGAGGAGGAGGAGGAGGAGGGGAGTAGGGAGGAGAAGAAGGGAGGAGGAGGAGGATGGTGAGGGAGGGAGAGGGAGGCAGGGAGTGGAGGAAGGAGGAGGAGGAGGAAGGAGGAGGCTGGAAGGCGGCCCCCAGCAAAGCCCAGAAACGACAAAAAGCCGCCCGCTGCAACTTTTGATGGGGCAGTTTTCCACCACCAACTACCATAGGAGGACGGGGGAGATGGGAAGATTGGTCAGGTCCTCCTCCTCCTCCTCCTCCTCCCTCCCTCCTCCTCCTCCTCCTCCTCCTCCTCCTCATCCTACCTATGGTAGTGGTGGTGAGATATCGGGCCATCAACGTTCTTCCTGCTCTTTCTCTGCGGCGCCCTGGCTCTGCGGGCTGCCCGCCCGGTCTCGGTCGCCCCCGCTGGCAGCTGGCCTTCCGCCGGGTCGCGCGCTCGCCCACCACGCGCCACGCGTCTCGGAGGAAACGTGTGTGCGCGTGAGAGAAGAGGAAGAGGGTGTCGCTCTCCTCCTCCACCTCCTCTACTCTACTCCTCCTGCTCCTGCTCCTCCTGCTCCTCCTGCTCCTCCTGCTCCTCCTGCTCCTCCTGCTCTTCCCTGCTCTTCCTCCTCCTTCTCCTCCTCTTCCTCCTCCTCCTCCTCCTGCTCTTCCTTCCTCCTCCTCCTCCTTCCTCCTCCTCCTCCTCCTCCTCCTCCTCCTCCTCCTCCTCCTCCTCTTTCCTCCTTTTCTCCTCCTCCCCTCCTCCTCCTCCTCCCTCCTCCCTCCTCCCAGTCCTCCCTCCTCCCCAAAGAATCCTCCCTCCTCCCTCCTCCCTCCTCCCTCCTCCCCCTCCACTCTCCCTCCTCATCCTCCCTCCCTCACTCCTCCCCCTCCCTCCCCCTCCTCCTCCTCCCTCCTCGTTCCTCGTCCTCGTCCTCTTCCCCCTCCTCTCCTCCTTCTCCGACTCCGCCCGCCTCCTCGTCCATCATCCTCTTCTTCCTTTTCCCTCTCGTCTTTCCTCTTCCTCCTCCTCTCCTCCTCCTCCTCTCCTCCTCTCCCTCTTCCCCCCTCATCCTTTTCCTCCTCCACTCCTCCTTTTCCTCCTCCTCCTTCCTCCCTCCTCCTCCTCCTCCTCCTCCTCCTCCTCCTCCTCCTCCTCGTCCTTCTCCTCCTTCTCCTCCTTTTCCTCCTTCTTCTCCTCCTCCTACCTCCTCTTCTTATTAATATGCGTACGTAGCACCCCGCAATTGCGGATGAGAGTGAGGGGGCGGGCGCGGGCGACGCGGGCGTCGTCGATGCGGCTGACCTCGTGACCCCCACCTTCCCTGTCGATGGCGCTCTCCTCCTCCTCCTCCTCCTCCTCCTCCTCCTCCTCCTCCTCCTCCTCCTCCTCCTCCTCCTCCTCCTCCTCCTCCTCCTCCTCCTCCTCCTCCTCCTCCCTCCTCTTCCTCATCGTCCTCATCGTCATCGTCATCCTCCTCCTCCACCTCTGTTTCTGTTTCCCAGGGCGGAGGTGGTCGGTGACACGCCTCAGCCAGCAAGAATCCGCCCCTCACTGCGGAGCCCCACCTTCACCGACCCGTCCTGCGCGAGCTTCACGGCCAGCTGCACGAAGGGCTGCTCGCACGCCGACGCCGCCCTCGTCCGCTGCAGGGCCGCGGCGGGAAGGGCGACCCACTCCAAGTACTCGATCAGCTTCTGCTCGGAGTCCTGGCGCTCGAGGTCCAGCTTCGCGATGGACTCGGAGCTCTACTCCACGATGCCCTGGATGACCTCCGCGTCGGCCTGCGGTCCCTCGAGGCTGCCGCTGTCGCCGTCGGGGGGCTCGTCGGACTCAATCTGCGGCTCGTGTGCCTGGCGGTGAGCAAGCCTCCAGCCCGCCGCCAGGCCCTGGCCGAAGGCGCAGGCCTCGCCGATGGGGTCGCTCCGCAGCCAAGCTCCTGGCGCCAGCACCGGCGTCGCCTCCGCGAGGCACTGCACGGCGTGCCCGCTCAAAGGAGGGCACGGCACGCACTCGAACGGCACGTCCACGATGCCGCCTGTCTTCGCGAACTGGCATTCCAGTCTGGGCCCCGCGGCAGCCCAGGCCAAGTCCTCGGGGGACGCGCGCGCGAAGCCCCTCGCTGGCACGCGAGCCGCATGCCACGCAGCGTTCCGCCGGCGGCGGCGGCCGCCTGGAACTGGCAGGCCCTCGGCGGAGCAGCACCAGCGCAGGTCTCGCCGCGATCTCGCGGTCGCGCCATGAGCCCGGCGCTACCAGGCCGTCCGCTTGGAACTTGCGGAGGGCAGCCTCGCAGGCACGCTGGCGCCTGAGTCGCGCGGCGCGCCTCGCTGCCGAAGCTCCAAGGGCCAGTATCTCCTGAGCCCGCAACCCACTGGGCCGCCATGCGGCTGGCAGCGCCCCCGCAGCCATGCCAACCTTCTCCTCCAGGCCGACCTCCGGCATCGCGGGGGCCGCGAAAGGGGACTGGGACTGAGCCGCTCTTGAGCGCAGAAGCAGCAACCAGCAGCCAGCCCGCCTGGCGCCCACGGCAGGCTGGAGCCAAAATGGCTACGGACTCCTCCTCCACCTCGTCCTCCTCCTCCTCCTCTTCTTCCTCGTCCTCCCTCTCCCCCCCTCGTCCTTTCATCATCGTCCTCCCGTTGTCGTCCTCCCCCTCATCGGCCTCCATCATCATCATCATCATCATCATCATCATCATCATCATCATCATCATCATCATCATCATCATCATCATCATCATCATCATCATCATCATCTCATCTCATCATCATCATCCTCATCATCATCATCATCATCATCACATCATCATCCCCCTCCCTCCCGCCTCTCGTCCTCCTCCTCCCCTCCTCCGCCTCCTGCGTGCCTCGCTGCCCCTCCTCTCCTCCTCCTCCTCCGTCTTTCTTTCCACATTATCCTTTACATCCTCTCTTCTTTCCGCGTTCTTCCTCGTCCCCGGTTTACTCCTCCTGCTCCCCCTGCCTTTCCCAGATAACTTCAACGCATCTTTTTTTTTTACCTACATCGAAGACTGATAGGTTTCTAGTAGGGTCAAAGAGAAGCATCAAATTGACTCTCCACAAGCGAGTCCGGGGCGGCATCCGGGGAGCTGGGTCCGGGAATCGTTTTTCGCAACAGTCACACCACTTCGTCTCTTCGACCTCGCCAGAACTCCATTCCCGGGCCACCACTCGAATGCCCGGAGCCCAACTGTATACCACTTCGTGCTCTTCGACCTCCCGAAATTCCACTCCCGGGCCACATTGTGAATGCCCGAAGCCAACTGTAGGCCACTTCGTGCTCTACGACTTCCCTGAACTCCATTCCTGGGCCACATTTTGGATGCTCGGAGCCTACTGTAAGCCACTTCGTGCTCTTCGACTTCCAGAATTCCATTCCCGGCACATTCACAATGCCCGGAGCCAACGTGTAGGCCACTTCGTGCGCTTTTTCGAGTTCCGCAGAACTCCATTCGCCGGGCCAATTTTATGCCCGGAGCCACTGTAAGCCACTTCGTGCTCTTCCACTTCCCAGAACTCCATTCCTGGCTGGGCGAGGCAGAGGCAGGATGAGGCCTGAGGCAGGCTGATGCTGAGGCAGACTGAGGCTGAGGCTTAGGCTGATGCAGGCTGAGGCTGGATTGCAGGCTGATGCTGAGGCGAAGGTGAAGCAGGCTGAGGCTTTGGCTGAAGCAGGCTGAGGCTGAGGCTGAGGCAGGCTGATGCTGAGGCAGGCTGAGGCTGAGGCTGAGGCTGAGGCTGATGCAGGCTGAGGCTGAGGCAGGCTGAGGCTGAGGCCGAGGCTGAAGGCAGACTGATGCTGAGGCTGAAGCAGGCTGAGGCTGAGGCTGAGGCAGGCTGAGGCTGAGGCAGGCTGAGGCTGAGGCTGAAGGCAGGCTGAGGCTGAGGCGGCGAGGCTGAGGCTGAGGCTGATGCAGCTTAGGCTGAGGCAGGCTGAGGCTGAGGCCGAGGCTGAAGGAAATTGAGTCTGAGCTGAAGCAGGCTGAGGCTGAGGCTGAGGCTGAGGCTGAGGCAGGCTGAGGCTGAGGCTGAGGCTGAGGCAGGCTGAGGCTAGGCTGAGGCTGATGCAGGCTGAGGCTGAGGCAGGCTGAGGCTGAGGCCGAGGCTGAGGCAGACTGAGGCTGAGGCTGAAGCAGGCTGAGGCTGAGGCAGAGGCAGGCTGAGGCTGAGGCTGAGGCAGGCTGATGCTGAGGCAGGCTGAGGCTGAGGCTGAGGCTGATGCAGGCTGAGGCTGAGGCAGGCTGAGGCTGAGGCCGAGGCTGAAGGCAGACTGAGGCTGAGGCTGAAGCAGGCTGAGGCTGAGGCTGAGGCAGGCTGAGGCTGAGGCTGAGGCAGGCTGATGCTGAGGCAGGCTGAGGCTGAGGCTGAGGCTGATGCAGGCTGAGGCTGAGGCAGGCTGAGGCTGAGGCCGAGGCTGAAGGCAGACTGAGGCTGAGGCTGAAGCAGGCTGAGGCTGAGGCTGAGGCAGGCTGAGGCTGAGGCTGAGGCAGGCTGATGCTGAGGCAGGCTGAGGCTGAGGCTGAGGCTGATGCAGGCTGAGGCTGAGGCAGGCTGAGGCTGAGGCCGAGGCTGAAGGCAGACTAAGGCTGAGGCTGAAGCAGGCTGAGGCTGAGGCTGAGGCAGGCTGAGGCTGAGGCAGGCTGAGGCTGAGGCTGAGGCTGTGCAGGCTGAGGCTGAGGCGAGGCTGAGGCCGAGGCTGAGGCAGACTGAGGCTGAGGCTGAAGCAGGCTGAGGCTGAGGCTGAGGCTGAGGCTGAGGCTGATGCAGGCTGAGGCTGAGGCAGGCTGAGGCTGAGGCCGAGGCTGAAGGCAGACTGAGGCTGAGGCTGAAGCAGGCTGAGGCTGAGGCTGAGGCAGGCTGAGGCTGAGGCAGGCTGAGGCTGAGGCTGAGGCAGGCTGAGGCTGAGGCTGCGACTGTGACTGCCGTTGCCACTGCGACTGTCATCGCGAATGCGACTACGACTGCGAGAACAGCAGAATTCTACAACTGGATTCTCATCTGAATCTTAAGGGGAATGCTTCCAGATATGCTCCTACACATCGCTGTTAGGTTGCTTTGCCGGGATAATCCACTTTATGCTCCCCGCCTTCTCTGATCAAGGCAACTCGCCAGGGCAGAGTTGCTGGACGGGCTGGTGTGGATGCGCAGGGATTGAAGAGGTCCTTGCGGGCTCAGACGGCATGCAACAATCCGCCGCCGCGCTTTTGCGGCATTGGTTTGTTCAGTGAACGTGGTTTAGGTAGCGGGTGGGTCGCGGGCTCTCCACCTCCACCTGGAAGGAATGCAAAAGCAGCCCGCCGCAGGCGCCAAAAAAATTGGTTTGTACACTGAACGTGGTTTGGGTCGCGGGTGGGCCGCGGGTTCTCCACCTGAAACGAATGCAAAATATGCCCGCCGCAGGCGCCGAAAAATGTGGGTTTGTACCCTGAACGTGGTCGCGGGTGGGCCGCGGGCTCTCCACCTGAAACGAATGCAAAAGATGCCCGCCGCAGGCGCCGAAAAATGTGGTCTGTACCCTGAACGTGGTTTGGGTCGCGGGTTGGTCGCGAGTTGGTCACGGGGTGGGTCGCGGGCTCTCCACCTGGAAGGACTGCAAAAAAAACCCGCCGCAAGCGCCGAAAATGGTGGTTTGTACCTTGAACGTGGTTTGGGTCGCGGGTGGGTCGCAGGTGGGTCGCGGGGTAGGTCGCGGGTGGGTCGCGGGTGGGTCGCGGGTGGGTCGCGGGTGGGTCGCGGGGTGGGCCGCGGGCGGGTCGCGGGGTGCGTCGCGGGGTGGGTCGCCGGGTGGGTCGCGGGGTGGGTCGCGGGTGGGTCGCGGGTGGGTCGCGGGGTGGGTCGCGGGATGGGTCGCGGGTGGGTCGCGGGGCGGGTTGCGGGTGGGACGACGACAACAAACAACAACAAACAACAACAACAACAACAACAACAACAACAACAACAAACAACAACGAGAATCCGCACCGCGGAATTCCACTTCAGCCACGCACCCAGGGACAGTGAATGACCGTTCGGCCCCCTCACTCTGATCATTCGTGTCATTATTATTATTATTATTGTTATTATTCGTCGTGTGCTAAAGGTTCGTCTGATTACTCGTCGTATTTCTACTCGTTTCCCTAGTATTAGCATGAATGGTTCTGGAATTAGTTACGCAGTGTTAGCATTATTCATCTTAGTTGTATGAATATGCATCTGCTTCGTCGTCTTATTAATAATGAGCGGTTTAGTGTTATCCGTGTTATTATTAATATCATTGTTTTTCACATGGTTCGTCTTAGTATTATTAGTCGTCGTAGTATGATTATTGATCGTACGCGTGTTAGCATTACTAGTCGATTTCGCATTCGTATTCTGTTACCAGCAGTCTTAGCCCGTGTTCGCAGTATCCCTCGTGCTACTAATAATACTAATATTAGTTGTATTGGTTGTTGTGAGTCGTACTGTGATTCGTATTGGTAATATGCGTATGATTAATAAAACTGTTAAGAGTAGTAATGTGAGTGTGATTAGCAGTATTACTATTGCGATTAGATTTACTAGTTCTAGTATGATTCATACTACTATTACTACTACCTATACTATTAATATGGCTACCCCTGGCACTAGTAGTATCATTCGTAGTGGTATGAGTGGTCGTACTTTTACTACGATGATGAGTATTACGATTCGTAGTATTAGCCTTCGTCTTGTTCTTACTCCTCCTCATCCTCCTCCTCCTGATCCTCCTCCTCTTCCTCATCCGCCTCCTCCTGCTCCGCATCCTTCGCCTCCTCCTCCTCCGCCCCCTCCGCCCCCTCCGCCTCCTCATCCTCCGCCTCTGCCTCCGCCTCTGCCTCCGTCTCTGCCTCCGCCTCCTCCTCCTCCTCCTTCTCCTCCTCCTACGCCTCAGTATCAGTATCAGTATCAGTCTCCTCCTCCTACTTCTCCTCCTCCTCGTGCTCCTCCTCCTTTCCTTTCCGTATGAAGAAGCCCCCCCTGTCGCACACAGAAGCCAGTTGGAAGGGCGGGCCGAGCGCTTCGGCTGCGACTTCCTTACCATCTGTGCGCCTGAACCTTCAACACTGGCAATCGTTTCACGGATTGAGGGCGGGTGGCATTTTAAAGTGTGGCTCTCACCACGTTTGCCAATGTTTACCATAGCTTCACGATTTGAGGGCGGGCCGTGTTCAAACTGTGGGTCTCCCCTTAACGCCGCGCACATTCGTTTTAAAACTGTGCAAGGTTTCACAAATGAGGGCGGGTCGTTTTCAAAATGTGGCTCTCGCCCTAGCGCCGCGCACCTTCGTTATCAACCATTGCCAAGGTGGCTTGGTTTGAGGGCGGTGTTTCAAAATGCAGCTCTCGCCTTAGCGTCGCGCACATTCGCTTTAAACCGCTGCAAGAGTTCCACTGGTCCATACTGGTCCTCATGGCGAACATACCAGAAATGGCGTGTTGGAACTGTTCAGGGTTGTCAGGGCGCAACAGGTACGCTGCTTCGCGGTGTTGAAGTCCCAGGAATGTTGTTCTGGCACGATTCAGGGTCGCCAAGACGCAGCAGTCAGGTTAACCAGTGGCGCCGAAGTCCTGAGACATGGTGTTTTGGCACGCTTCCGGACTTACACACAGTTGTCCTCCAACGGTGCAATTCCCACAGTGGTATTAATTCTCGTAGTGGCCTGTGAAGAAGGGAAGTATATTGGAGGAAGGGAGTACTCCAACATCGTTGATGGGTCTTGGGTTTGCACTGGTCCTCCTCCTCCTCCGTCTCCGCTGCCTCCTCCTCATCCTCCTCCTCCTCCTGCTCCTCCTCCTCCTCTGCTCGCCATCCTCATAATCCTGACCCCTCTGCTCGCCATCATCATCGTCATGGCCCCTGTGCTCGCCCTCCTCGTCGTCCTCCTCCTCCTCCTACTCGTCCTCCCTCTTCCCTCCTCCCTCATGCCTCCTGCCTTCTGCCTCCTGCATCCTCCTCATCCGCCGCCTCCTCCTCCTCCTCCTCCTCCTCCTACTCCTCCTCCTCCTCCTCCCTCCTCCCTCCTCGCTCCTCCTCGTCCTCCTCCTCCACCTCCTCCTCCTCCTCTTCCTTTTCCTCTTCCTTTTCCTCGTCCTCGTCCTCTCCTCGTCCTCGTCCTCGTCTTCGTCCTCCTCCGCCTCCTCCGCCTCCTCCTCCTCCTCCTCCTCCCCCTCCATGCCGCACCCAAGCCAAAAAGAGCAGGGGGACGGTGCAAGTTGGGTCTGGGCGCTCACTCAAGAGCAGAATGCCCAAGCAAACCCGGGTAACCACATGCTCTTCGAATGTGATTGGGGCGGGATGTCCTGATGGAATCCTTCGCACACTCCCTCCCGCCGCCTACCTCCCTCCGTCCCTCTCTGCCTCCCCTCCCTCCCCCCTCCTCCGCCCACGAGGAACGGGATGGGGGAGGGAAGAGAAACGAAGTGAGATGGTTGCCTTCCTCCTGCCTCTCCTGCCCTCCTTCTTCCCCCCCCTCCCCTCCTCCTCCTCCTCCTCCTCCTCCTCCTCCTGCTACTCTTGCTCCTTCTCCCCCTCCTCCTCCGCCTCGTCCTCCTCCGCGTCCTCCTCCTCCTGTTCCTCCTCCTTTTCCTCCTCCTTCTCCCTCTCCCCCTTCGTCTCCTGTTTCTCCTCCTTCTCCTCCTCCTCCTTTTCCTCCTACTCCTACCCCTCATCCTCTTCCCCTCCCCCTCCCTATTCCCCTCAGTCCCTCCCCCCTTCAGGCCAGCGAAGCCTTGAAGTCCAGACAAAAGGCGCTGTCGTCGATCTTGCCGTGCTGGAAAATCGCCTGGCCACGCCCTCTCCTCCTAATACTCCTCATCCGCTTCGCCCGCCTCCCCTACTCGTTCCCCTCCCCTCGAAACCGTGATGGTCGTCATCGTTCACGCCACCACTGCAATGACCAAGGTCGCCATGACCACCGCAATCCGCATCATAATGAAACTAATAGCCTTTGGTCTGCAAACATTACCACTGGTAACCAGCACGATAACAATCGCTACCCTCCACCTCCCTCATGTGCTATCATAATTCGGATCGTCCTGGCCACTCGGCTCGCCATGCTCATGTTCCTCCTCCCCCTCCTCCGTCCTCCGTCCTCCTCCTCCCCCTCATCCTCCGCCTCTTCCTCCTCCTCCTCCTCCTCCTCTTCCTCCTCCTCCTGTTTGCCATCCTCCATCAGCTTTCTTTATAACTAACGCCGCCTTGTCGTATCCCCCAGGCGTGTCGGCAGGGCGGGCCAGGCGTTCGGCCTGAGATTTCTTCACCACTCACACCCTGAAGCGAGACATCTCACCAGGCCGTGTAGGTGGTTCAGAAAGTTTGCTCTTTGGGAAGGGTTTACCCTGCCCCTTCCCCCCTCCACCAGGGACTGGACGTGGAATACCGCGAAGGGTTAGAGCGCACAAGACGGCCCAGCATGGCTCCAAAAAGGCCTCAGAAAACCCAGAATTGCCTCCCAACATGGCCCGAGGCATCGATCTTGAAGTCCTTACGTGCTGCAGCGAAGGTCGTTGCGTTGGAGGATTTCGGCATGCGGGCGCGACAGTGCACGCGTGCACACGTGTATCATGTTCTGCTGGTCGGGATTTGGCAAATTTTCTGACTTGTGCTCAACGAATACTTTGTTTCCCCGCGGGGAAAACGCTCAAGACACGAAGAATAATCCGCTGCCCCTCAAGGGGGCTATCCAGACACGGGCGACAAAAAAACTCATACGCCTGGCGATCGCAATGTGCGTGCATCCGGGACGGCTTCCAACCGTTCACACCAAACACACCATCGTTCTGGACTCGGGGCGGCCGAAGGAGGAGCAGGAGGAGGAAAAGGACGAACGAGGTCAGAGAAACCAGTCAGAAGCCAGGAGCAGCGGTCAAGCCAACCTGCAATAGGCGAGCTGTCGCGCGCACCCTGGGACTAGGAGAATGGGCAATAAAGCAAGCTTATAGACCGCGGAGGTCATCGCCCGACCGCTCGGCAGTCTAGGCGCCTACATGGCCAACGCAGAGCAATCGCAGAGAAACATAACTTCACAATTGCGACGCCGAGGAAACAAGACAGGAAGGAGGAAGGCGAGGAGAAGGAAGAGGAAAAGGAAGAGGGTGTGACAACAGCAACCCGGGCCGAGACCGCGAGGTCTGGCGCTCAGTGAGGTGAGATCTTACAAACGTGTTACCACAAAGTGAACAACGAAATGGCGAGAAACAACAACGAACTGTTTGAGAATCCTACCATGCAGTGGGAAGGAGGAGACACAGAGAGGGGCAAAGAGAAGAACTCAGCCTGCTGCGCGCACCTACCAGCACCTACCAAAGCTTCTGACCGCCGTACTGCTCCACGGGAACGCACTGAGAAATCTGCTGAACCAGCCAAAGCTGCCCTGCCAGAATCTGCAGGCCTGACGCGGTGATCGAAAATCGCGTTTGGTAGGGATCAGCACTCGGGCCACTGCTGATCCCTACCAAATCGTTCCCGAAGCCGCGCACGACGGACGCCTGCCTAGACGCTAGCGACTGGCTCGGAGGAAAAACAAACGAACAGGAGCGGACTGCAGGACAAAGAATGCAAGGACCACTGGAATTCTCAAATAAGACATCCATCCCTGACACGCCATGTGCAACTTCATCAACAAAATATGTACAATAGCCCCGGCCTCGGGGGCTCGCTATGCAACCGCACACGCTGCAGGGGTGACCTGAGAACGTGGCCGAAATTGCGGCAACACGCTCGTGCAGGGCGGGGAAGGGAGGAGAGGGGAAGAGAAAAAGCAGCGGGAGAGAAAGTGAGCTAGCGAGCCTGAGCAACCACCTATTCTTCCGAGTGTGGCTGTCTGCCCCGGGCCCCCTCGCGCTCATACTCGCGGTAAGCCCCGGCAATGTCTGCGGCGTCCGCCAGGTGCCCATGCCGACGTGCATTGTGTACCCGGTAAAGGCTGTATATGTGGAGGGCCCACTGTACAGTGGCATCTGGGTCAGTCCCCCGGGTTCCCAATCGAGGGCGAGTGCGGTTGTGGGGCAGGAGGCGCCGGGGAGGGCGCGCGCGACTGGGCAGAAAGCCGGGCGGCGAAGACTGTCCTCACCTGTGCGGCATCCAAATTGGCAGCGGCCGTTGCCGCCGAATCGCGCGCTCGTGCACCATCCGTGGCACCAGAGGCGCAGAACTGCGGCCCAGACGCGCGGCTGACACTTTTCACCCACGATCCGGAGCACCTGCAAAACGGCGGCCGAGCGCCGGCGCAGAAGCGACTGTAGAGGCCACCGCGCTAGGCGGCGGGCCAGCGCCGGGAGCGCGATTGCGCCGGCCGTGCCAAACTGGGAAAGGCGGAGCTGGGCGACAGCAAGCTTCTGCCATCCCGCCCTCCGACGCCAACGAGGTTGCGTCGCCGTTTTCTCTCGCATGGCTCGTACCTGGGACGCGGCTTCGGCCAGGGACGACAGGATGGACGTCGAGATCCACTGTCGCGGCCAGCCTGCTCGCGCAAGAGAAGCTGCATCGGACAGGTTCGCATACGAGGCAAGCAACTTGGCACTCCGCGCGCTGATCTGCAATGCGCCGCCCGCCTCCCAACTAGTGACCCTGGCCTTCGCGGCGAGCATCGTCAAGGACAGGTCGGGGAGCTCGACCGGGAACCCAAGGCCCTTCATGTCTTTGAGCACGTCTACGGGCGCCGAATCCCTAGGCCCTGGGAACAGCTTCCGGCAAGCGTGAAGCTCGCACTCCTTGCTGTCGTCGGGCGGGGGCTCCAGCTGGCCCACGAACGACAGGACGGACGCCACGTAGGCCTTGTACGCCTACACCGTGACCAGTAAGCCTGCGCCGGCGCGGCCCCATTGGGCAGCCCCCTTGTGCTCAACGAATACGCGCGCGTAGTATTAGTCAACGAGAAGCAGGGGGTCGAGCCAATCTTGGCTGGGATTGTATGAACTCATATTTGTCACGAGCGATGGGGCAAACTCACACTTGAACTGCACGCCCCCAGGCGGTGCCGATGATCCGGGAAAAGGGGGGCAGAACCTACATCTCTTCTAGAAAAAACAATCTACGTGGCGCAATATGTTTTCACAAACGAGGTGACACATCCCATACTCCTGCAAACATCCCACCCACCCAACCGCAACTTGGTTTGCAAAACCCATGCGGCGGCGATTGCGGTGAGTGTTTGGCGTTGGCTGGTGTGCATTTCCGCGGCCGCGCTATCCCGCGCATGCTCGCGCGCACTGCGGCCAGCTAGTTTGGCGCGACCGACGCGGCCGCGGTGGCGCTGACCGCTGGGCATTTCCCAGCGGGCACTTCAGTGAGAGTCGGTGACTTGGGCCGGCGCGGTATCATGGCGACAACGACAGCGGTAGACACAATCATGAAAGTAGCGATGATGGTGACGATGGTGGCAATGACGACGGCAAGGCCAATAATAACGTCGATGCTGATCACGCTCGCCGATAACGATGACGATGTCTTCGCGTCGGCGATGAAGGTTCTTGGCGGCGTTCGCGGCCCGCGTGGTTTTGCTTGACATGGATCGTGCTCCCCCAGCACGCGCAAGGGCATTCGAATGAGTTCGACATGCGGCGCGAGAGGCCCGTCTGGCAGAATTTGATGAACACGTTGAACACCTATGGCTTTCTTAAGACTCCACAAGACCACGACCACAGGATTAGTGTGAGCATTGATGGTGCAGAACCATGTGTTTTCTATGTTATCGGGACAATCGTTGTCGAAATCCGTGCGAAACCTAAAGTTGTTGAAGGATTCCGGCATGTGCGCGCGACGACGCGCGCGTGTGCACGTCGTCCCATCAGCTGCAAGGGAATAGTGCGACAACGCGCGCGCAAAGGCGTTCGACCGAACTCGACATGCGCGCACGAGAGGCCCGTTTGGCGAGGTCCCGTTTGGATGTGCCTGGCACTTCGCTGTGTTGCCCCCTTCCCCCCCGCAGCCTTCAAAACTGCCGACAAATTCACATTTCGCACCCCCCCCCAGATGGCGAAGTCCCGCATGGGCCTGCGTGGGGCTCTGCGCGGGCTCACGTAGCACCTCTCGCAACTGGCGATAGTTTTACACTTCGCACCCCCCCCCCCCAAGGATGGCGGGGTCCCGTTTGGGTCTGAGTGGGACCCCACTGTGCGGGCTCCCCCAGCAGCCCTCGCAAGTGGCGATAATTTCACACTCCTCAGCCCCCCCCCAGGGATGGCGAGGTCCCGTTTGGGTCCGCGTGGGGCACTCTGCGGGCTCCGCCAGCAGGCCTCGAAAGTGGCGACATGTTCACACTCCGCAGCCCCCCAGAGATGGCGAGGTCCCGTTTGGGCCCGCGTGGGGTTCCACTGTGTGGTCCCCCAGCAGGTAGGTGCAGGCAGGTGCAGGCGGGCGAGAGAGGGACAGAGGGCGGGAGCAGTAGAAGAAAGAAGTTGGCAGCTTTAACGTTCTATGCCAAACGAGCACCCAACCAAGGGAGGCCTGGAAACTTACCCTGCGACGTACCCAACCCATCGGCACCAAGGGATGCTAGAAGGTGTGCCGACCATATTGCGACAGCAACACTGCAAGAGACGTTGCACGGCGTATACCTGTATCGTGAGAAGTGTGCGTGGCCGACACGCAGAACAGAGGTATAAAAGGCCAGGAGGCATTGTAATGGGAAAGAGAAGCGAAAGGAAAACACCGAGGTGGAATCATAATGACCTCGACAGAAGCAACCCCTCCTCCGCAACCCTCCTCCTCCCCTTCCTCCTCCTCTTTCCTCTCCCGCATCTCTCCCCCTCCTTCTCCTCCCCCTCCTCCTCCTCCTCGTCCTCCTCCTCCTCCTCCTCCTCCTCCTCCTCCTCCTCCTCCTCCTCCTCCTCCTCCTCCCCCCCCCTCCTCCTCCTCCTCCTCCTCCTCCTCCTCCTCCTCCTCCTCCTCCTCTCCTCCCCCTCCTCCTCCCCTTCCTCTTCCTCGCCTCACTCCTCGTCCTCCCCCTTCCCCTCCCCCTCCCCCTCCTCCTCCTCCTCCTCCTCCTCCTCCTCCTCCTCCTCTTTCTCCTCCTCCTCCTCCTCCTCCTCGACATCCTCATCCTCGTCGTCATCCTCCTCCTCCCTGTCCTCTTGCTCATCGTCATTCTCCCTCGTGTCCCTCGCCTCCCTCCTTTCCTCCTCCTCCTCCTCGTCCTCCTCCTCCGCCTGTTCCTCTGCCTCCTTCTCATCCTCCTTCTCCTCCTCCTTCTCCTCCCTCTCCTCATCCCCCACCCCTCATCCTCTTCCTCCTCCTCCGGATCTGCGTGGGGCCCCACTGTGCGGGCTCCCGCAGCAGCCCTCGAAAGTGACGACAGGTTCACACTTCGCAGCCCCCCAGGGATGGCGAGGTACCACTGTGATGTCCCCCCCCAGCAGCCCTCAAAAATGGCTACAGTTTCATATTTCGCAGCCCCCCCCCAGGGATGGCGAGGTCACCTGGCCCCCCCCGCAGCCCTCGAAAGTGGCGACAGGTTCACACTTCGCAGCCCCCCTGGGAATGGAGAGGTCTTTTTGGATCTGCGTGGGACCACACCGTGCTGGCCCCCGAACAGCCCTCGAAAGTGACCACAGTTTCACACTTCGCAGCCCCCCTCCTCGGGGATGGCGAGGTCTTTTTAGGATCTGCGTGGGACCCCACTGTGCTGGCCCCGCCCAGCAGCTCTCGAAAGTGGCGACAGTTTCACACTTCGCAACCCCCCAGGGATGGCGAGGTCCCGTTTGGATCTGCGTGGGGCGCCAATGTGCTGCCCCGCCAAGCAGCCCTCGAAAGTGGCTACAGCTTCACACTTCGCAGCCCCCCAAGGCATGGCGGGGTCCCGTTTGGAACTGCGCGGCACCACACTGTGCTGGCCCCCCAACAGCCCTCAAACGCGGCGACAGGTTCACACTTCGCGCCACCCCTCCCAGGGATGGCGGGGTCCCGTATGGGTCTGCGTGGGGCCCCACTGTGCGGGCTCCCGCAGCAGCCCTCGAACGCGGCGACATTTTCACTCTTGTCAGCCCCCTCAAGGGGTGGCGAGGCACCGTTTAAGTCCGCGTGGGGCCCCACTGTGCGGGCCCCCCAACAGCCCTCAAACGCGGCGACAAATTCACACTTCTCAGCCCCCCAGGGATGGCGAGGTCCCGTTTGGGTCCGCGCGGGGCCCCTTTGTGCAGGCTCCCCCATCAGCCCTCAAACGTGACGACAGCTTCACACTTCGAATCCCCCCAGGGATGGCGAGGTCCCGTTTGGGCCTGCGTGGGGCCCCACTGTGCGGGCTCCCCAACAGCATTCGAAAGTGCCGGCAGTTTCACACTTCAGCCCCCCAAGAATGGCGAGGTTCCATTTGGGTCTGCGTGGGGCCCCACTGTGCAGCAGACCTTGAAAGTGGCGGCAGGTTCACACTTCGCACCCCCAGAGATGGCGAGGCCCCGTTTGGGTCCGCGTGGGGCCCCACTGTGCGGTCCCTCAGCTGGCAGGTGCAGGCAGGTGCAGGCAGGCGAGGGGGGGACAGACGGCGGGAGGAGGAGGAGAAGGGAGTTGGCGACACCACTGCTCTATTCAAAACAAGAACCCAACCAAGGGAGGCTTGGGCAAAACAGCGCAGTGGGAAGGGATAAGAGGGAAAGGCATGATGTCAGCAGTGGCGCGAGCGCACCCAGCTTGCAACTCTGTTCTGTTCTGGTGATCTGAAGGCCCCGCCAACGGGGATTGCCACTGGGAAAAGCACGAGCATCTCACAAAGCTTCGGGAGACACGCCGCGTACGAGTCGCCGGCACAGCAACCCCGACCGCGCAGCTCTCATCCGGACACGGCTGGCAAAGGGACGCGGGACAAGCACGGAACACGGCAACCGAGCGGGGGGAGCGAGAAGCCGCGCGGCCGAGGCCGAGGAGGGGAGAGCACGGAAAGAGCGACAGGCAGACCGGGCCGACACACGGGGAGACAGGGGAACTGGGAGAGAAAACCAAGCAAGGAGAGTCTCCAATGCAGTCAGGCAGCCTCCTAAGCCTCAGTGGGGGAGGAGGAGGAGGAGGAGGAGGAGGAGGAGGAGGAGGAGGAGGAGGAGGACGAGGAGGAGGAGGAGGAGGAGGAATGAGCAATGCGCAATGCGCGGGGAGTTCAAATGGGTTGCTCAACTCACACCACGAAACCTGGCAAAGAACTCTGCGCAACCCGACTTAGTGGAGTGCGGGTTATCACTTGAAAAGAGACAGGGCAGCCCACACTGGCTTGGCCAGCACCGCCCCCAGCCGGTAGCGAACCTCCATGACGCCACGCAGGCGTACTGGGAGGGGCCACCTAAGGGACCGACGGTTGGCTGGGGCCTCGGCCTTTGCTACTGCCTTTCCCCCTGCGCGGGGCCCTCTTGGGCGCTACCACAAGGGGGACCACGGGAAGATCAGCCTGCTGATACGTGGCAAAATCGGGGGTCCGAAAATGATATGAAATCACTCCCCTGGCCACAAGACTTGCCAAACGAATACTACCTGAAAAAGCACCCCTGTTGGACTGTGAAGATCTCCTCAGATCCCCACCCCCATCCTTCCACGGCTCCTACTCCTACTCCTATCCTCCTCCCGCACGGGCCTCACAGGCCTCATTGGTCCACCCGAGCCCAGGACCTGATTCATTTCTTCTCGATCAAATTCAGGATCCTCGCAGCTTCTCGCTCGAGAGGTCCTTTCGGGGCTGGGCCGATCAACTGCTCCGCCCTCTTCTGGTCCTCCTCGTAGTTGAGCCACCAGAGGACCAGCTCCCTCGCCATCATGCCAGGCTCGTTGTAGCTGAAGGCGAAGGTCAGCCGCCCTTTCTTCATCTGCTGCTGCTGGCTCGAGGAGCCACTCGTCTCGGTCTTGCGCCCCTTGTGCTTCCGATACCGGAAGTGCAGCGCGTGATTGCCCACGGTATGCGGGGCGGCGCTCTGGATGTACTTCGCGAAGTACCCGTTGAACTTCTTGGTCTCCGCCTCGGAGTACTCCTCTTTGCCGCCCTGGATGAACTTCTTCACGTTGGTGACGAGGTCGAGGCAGACCGCGGCCCACAACTGCACGTGCGGGGGCCCACGAGCGCGAAAGTCTACCCTTTCGCCTGCCCGTTGACGTTCTTTCATCTGCCTGGACATCTCGTCGTACTTGAGCCCTGAGTCGATCATGAGCTGAGTGGCCCCTTCGCCTGGTAGACTGCGCCCGCTAAGTTGGCGAGCTCTCGCGCCGAGGTGAAGCGCCGCTTGGTGAGGAGGAGCACGAGGGCCGTGGTGAGGTCCTTCTCGTTCTTGTCGCCCTTGGCCCCGCCCTTGGCGCGCTTCGACGGCTTTCCTCCGAGCCTGGGCCCTCGTCCGCCCCCCTCTTCGTCTCCGACGCGGCCTGCGTCCACGCGGGCGGCGTGAGCTCCGCCATGAGCCCCAGAGTGCTCACGAATCTGGCGGGTCCGCGGGAGAACAGGGCCAGGCAAGTGGCTGCGTAGGTGTTGGCATAGTGCGTCTAAGTCTGAAGCTTCTACATCACACTGAGGACGCGACAATGGCGATGGAGGCTCCAAGAGGGCGAAACGTTCCCCCCCCCCCCCCCCCCACACACACACACACACCGAATCGACCGTGTCCCCGTCGCACAGCAAGCACACTATGCCGAGCAGCACATGCCCTGTCCCAGAAAATCTCCCTGCAGCAGATACATGTGTTACTGGGGGTGAGCACGTGGCACAGGGGGCGCAGCGAGTGGCGGGACCTCATATGTGCCATCACGCCCTTGCGCATGGTGAACGCCTCCTCACACCCCTCGAACTGGCAACGATAACGCGTTTCGGGTTCGGGAAATTCTCGTGCCCCATGATCACGACCATCGTCATTTCCCACCTCGGCTCCCAGACCAGGGGGGCGATAGTCACTCCAAAGAAGCAACTCCGCATCACAATGAAATCGATGTTCAAAAGCTCGTGGCGCACCTCGGGGTCCCACATGAGGCCAGGACGATCTGCGAGAGCTCCCACTACATCCTCCGAGTCACGTATGAGCCCCTGTGCCCAGTAGAAGTCCTCAGAGACCCTGCGAGCCCAGGGGGGGGGGGGCCTTGGGGGTCAGGTATCCGCCGACGAGAGGCGCCCCCCCCCGACTCGAAACGCACTTCCCCGAAAAGGGCCGCGAACAGCTGGGTGTGGCTGGCGGGGTGGGCAGCCCAAGACTTATACCAGTTGAGTCGACGAATGCCCAGCTCCACCGAGGTCTCACAAATACGCAAGTGTTTTAGCACGGCCTGGTTGGACATCGTCCTGACTGCGCCAGTTGAAGTAGTCCATCGTGCGCGGCCTCGCATGCGCACGCGGGCAAAATTAGCGATAGTAGCATGCAGGCGGGCGCTCTGCTGCTTCGCGAGCAAGAACGCCTCCAGTCCACATCGAGCCGAATTCTGCACAAGGGATAAGAAGATCGCCCGAGTAAACTTCCAAGGGGGAGACAACGTCCAGAAACCGCCCAGGGAGTAGAAAGCCGAGCGTGCAGCCTGATGTCGTCTGGTCACCTCCTGACTCGAAGCCTGAGGCATGGAAACGCAGGGCCCCAGGTACCGCACCTCCTCCTTCAGAGCCCCAGAGATGAGAGCCCGTCCAGGCCCACGAAGCCAACGACGACAAGCCATGCCTCCCTCCCCCTCCAGCCAGACCGCCAGCTCTCGTTTCCCCCGATTCTGTTGGCACCCGCACTCCTGGAGGTGAGAGTCTAGCAAATCGTCTGACACGCGCAACTTGGCGAGGAAGGAGCCCATGAGGTCGCCCTGAGCGATCAGGGTGTAGCGATAAAAGGTCGTCCGCATACTTAAAGAGGCTGAAATCAACTTCCTGACCTTGCCAGTCAGCGCGTAAGAGGTGCGAAGATGGGTCAGCGGCACGGAGCGACTCCGTCCACTGCTGCACAGGGCGCTGAAATGTAGTCGAGAACGCTGCAACCATAAACGGATCCCCCATCACTCCTCCCACCCTGGTCTTGACCGCCACATCCCCCTCATCACTAGGTAGTGAAACCGCGGCATCACGATAGCGCTTCTTGCACAGCAGTAAATTCTCATCAGATACGTGTAGGGCCATGCTCGTGTCCATGGCCGTCCAGGAGTGCTACCAAACGCGTTGCTCATATCCTTGAGACTAGCCCCAAAGCTCCATCGCGCCTGTCGCAATCTCCACCCAACCACCTGAGATGCCAAGACAGCCCCTTCCCGACGACGATGCCTCTGAAACCCATAGTCTTCAGGGGGGAGCTCATTGGGGAAGAGATCAGCGAAGAACGCTTTGCCCACGACGGGGAGGACGTGGACCGCGCGTTTGCCCCGAGGCCCAGGTTGGGCCGACTTGTGTAGAGCGCACCCCCGACTAGTACTCCAATGGAGAGGGGCCATGTCTGTGATTCGCACCTTCCTGAAAGCGTCGAGTAGCACCTCAAAAGAGAAAGTCGGCTCCACCGGTGCACGCTGAGCGCCGAGGCCAGCGCGTAGACCCTCCAGGCCCACATCGGGGTGCAACATCTGCCACCAGAGCTCCAGTGGGGCGGCACCGTCTGGGACGGCCCGTCTCTTGGATGCTTTGCGAACATACTTTCGGAGACGTTTGATGTCTTCCAAAGCCAGTTCCCTGAAAGGGGGATCGTAACGGGCAATGTCGTAAATCTGGGCCAGATAAAGGTCGTCCCACTGGTTCCGCCACTGCTCCAAATCGATAGGGATGACTTTCATGCCCCCCTCCCCTCCAGGTGGCTGCCAGACATCCAACCACTCCTGACGAGCGATCGGGGTAGCTCCAAAGCGTCTACCATCACGTTTTTTTTAAGGAAAACCTACAACGAGCCGCTCTCCTCGCCCACCCCATCGCATCCGATATATTCCTTCTAGCCCATGCCTCACTGGAAGCCTGCATAAAAGGAAGCCCTCTCCGCCCTCATGTGCCGTTGTCTAAGCAGACGCATCCTCTGCGATACCTCGCGGAGCTCCTCTTCGACCGCTGGCAAATCCGTGGCTTGCAAGCGAGAAGCGCGCAACTCAATGCGCTTCTTCAGCAGCTCACGGCGCCATGCGGCCCAATGAGAGTAATCATGCGGCATATCTGTATCTTCGCAAAATATGTCCGACCCCGCCTCCACCAGTCCCTGTTCTAGAAACTCAAAACAGTGGTCTGGGGCATCCTGGTCATGAACCCGTACCCTATCCCCCCCCCGTTCCCGTATCCACTGCCCCACTCCTTCCACAAAGGCGATGCGCTGAGATCCAGAGCGGACAGCAAGCATAATAGAGGAGGTATTCCAGCGAGCCCGCTGGACAGGGACACGTTCTTGGGGCCCTTCGGGGTGATGTAGCTCCAAGTAGAGGGGGACATGATCTCGAGGGGGGCGTCCACTCTGGACTTGCAACTGCGCGCAAATCCTTCGTAAAGTATGGCATCGAGCCAGGCGGGCGCCCCATCCCTGCGGGATGAACAGGAAGTCGACCAAACTCGAGGGCCCTTCGGGTTCATCACCGTAAAATTTTGGACCAAGAGGGCCCAAGGTATTCGCCGCCAGAAGGTGGTGCTGCTCCAGCAGATGTGCCACCGACTCTCCTGCTCCCTGCCTCCGCCTCTCCCTCGTGCGCGTCTGACCCACCGCGATGCTGTCACACTCCTCCCACTTCCCCTCGATGCGACGACAGCCGAGCCCATCGTTCAAATCGGCGAAGAAAATCGGCAAACAACGTGCTGGAAGTTGGTCGAGACACTCTCACCACCACTGGGTCATCCTGGCGACCGTCTGCGTGTGCTTCGGCCCCGCCCCTTTCCCTCGAGGTTGAGGAGGATAGTAGGGAACCCCAACACACACGTCCACTATGTTGTGTCGAATACGAGCGGCGAGACAACGACTCCAGAGCTCAGGCGGGCTGAAGAACACCCGTTTCGCATGATGGCCTCGGAACTCTCGGCCTAGTACAATAGACACACCCGCACTACGATTAGTGTACAAACCTGATGATACTGCTGCTTCAAGAACCACTCTTCCCTCCACCTTTCGTTGAGGCACCTGTTCCGACTCCCTGCGCACGTTTTGGGTTCCCGCCAACAGAGTGAAGTCCATGTTCTTCGTGCAGGCGGCGATCTCCTGGAGTCGGTTGCCAGTGCCCCACATGGGGTTCCATCCGAGCACCCGTAACCTTGACATGGTCGGCGGCGCCCCATCATCTCGCAACGGCCGCGCGGCCGTGGGTGCCTGGAAGCATTGAATTCGCGTGCCTCTGGCCCGAAGTCCTGGAACTCTCGAACCCAGGGGCTGGAGGAGGAGGAGGAGGAAATGGAAGAAAAGAAAGGCGAGGAGACACGCACCCACACTCTCTCTCTCACACACACGCACGCATGTACGCACGCACGCACGCACGCGCACACACACACACACACACGCACACACACACACACACACACACACACACGCACACACACACACACGCACACACACACACCACACCTCGCAAGGGCAAGAGCACGCAAGGACAAGGGGGAGACGCCACGGAGAGGGATGGAGGGTAGCCGAGAGCCAGAACCAAGACAAGAACAGAGGCAAGAACGGAAGCACACAGACACGACAAAACCATGACATATGACATAATTCGACGTTGCTGCGAAAAGACCCTCTGCCTGCTTCCAGCGGTTTCGGTCTTGGGCCTGCTGCATCCAGCCGGCTGCGGTATGGACTGGGACATCACATTCGACTGGGTCATCCAACCAAATGCGGTGTGGACTCGTATCTCCCTCCCCTCCTCCTCCTCCTCCTCCTCCTCCTCCTCCTCCTCCTCCTCCCCCTCCTCCCCTTCCTCCCCCGCCTCCCCCGTCTCCACCTCCTCCTCCTCCTCCTCCTCCTCCTCCTCCTCTTCTTCTTCTGACGATTATTATTATTGATATTCGTATTGATTTCGTATTCGTACTATTCACTTTCTTTTTCTTCACAGTATTGTGACACTAAAATTACGATCATCCTTATTATTATTCCTTCTGATTATTACTCGTACTACTATTACTACTCCTCTTCTTCCTCTTCCTCCTCCTCCTCCTGCTCCTCCTCCTTCTCCCCCTCTCCCTTCCCCTTCCCCTGCCATTCCTGGCTCACTCTCCGCCTCCTCCTCCTCGCTCTCTTCATCGTCATTGATTCCTTATGCTTCTCTTCATTCTTCTTACAAGTATGATTCGCCTTCTTTTTCTTCTTGTTATTGGTACTAGTATGATCCTCCTCCTCCATATGTTTCATATCAGTCTTCCTCCTCTTCCTCCTCCTCCTCCTCCACCCTCCGCCTTCTCCTCTTCCTTCTCCTCCCTCCTCCTCCTGCTCCTCCTCCTGCTCCTCCTCCTGCTCCTCCTCCTGCTCCTCCTCCTGCCCTATGGCTCCTCACTCCTCCTCCCCCCTCCTTCTCCCTCCTACGCCCTCCTCTTCCCTCGTCCTCCCCCTCCCCCTCCCCCCTCCTCCTCCTCCTCCTCCTCCCGCCTCCCCGCCTCCTCCTCCTCCTCCTCCTCCTCCTCCTTCTCCTCCTCCCCCCTCCTCTTCCCCCTCCCCCTCCTCCTCCTCCTCCTCCTCCTCCTCCTCCTCCGCCTCCTCCTCAGCCTGCGGTCGAGCCAGAAGCGGACGCAGCTCCCGCGCTTCGGGTCTGCGTCAGGCTGCCGCGCTCGTACTCGGGGCTGCCGCCCATCGACGAGCAGCTCTTTCGTTCTCTGGGGATGCCTGATCCCCCTTCTCGCTTGCCTCCTGGCTCGGGCATTGCTGGACATGTGCCGCATGCCTCTCACTTTCTGTGGCGCAAGGGTGCCATCACTTTTTGCAGCCTCTGCGGGCGCTACGCTGACTCCAGGCCCTCGCGACTTCTGGAGGAGTGCGAGGCGGCGAGGCACGGACCTTTCGCGCTGACCAAGGCGCAGCTTACTGCCCTGCTGCGGCTGCGCAAGGGCCTCCCTCCCAGGCCTGGGGTCTGCGAGTGGCCCTCGGCGGGTGTTTAGCCCGCGTGTTTTGACTGCCAGCCTGTCGCCCGGCCTTTTTGCTTCCGCGATTTGGGTGTGCGCCTGGCTGCCGTGCATTGCAAAAAAAACTCCGCCTCCTCCTCCTCCTCCTCCTCCTCCTCCTTCTCCTCCTCCCCCCTCCTTCTCCCTCCTCCGCCCTCCTCTTCCCTCGTCCTTCAACCCCCCCCCTCCCCTCCCCCTCCCCCTCCTCTCCTCCTCCTCCTCCTCCTCCTCTTCCCTCCTCCTCTCTCTTCCTCCTCCTCTTCCTCCTCCTCCTCTCCCCTTCCCCTGCCACTCCTGGCTTCCTCTCCTCCTCCTCCTCCTCCTCCTCCTCCTCCTCCTCCTAATTCGACAGGCAGCCAAATGCGAGAGAGGAGAGCCACGCGGGCGACGAGCGCGTCTCCGGGGAGATGAACCTGAGCACGCAACCGCACCCTGGAGGGGGCGCTTCTCGACAGGAGGAGGAGGAGGAGGCGGAGGAGGAGGAGGAGGAGGAGGAGGAGGAGGAGAAGGAGGACGATGAGGACGGAGGGAGAAGGACGATGAGGACGGAGGGAGAAGGGGACGATGACGAGGTGACGAAGTCATACTCCAAAACTCGGACGGGGAGGAGGGGGATAGGCGAGGGGAGGGGTAGGGGGGGGAGGAGGAGGGAGGAGGGAGGAAGAGGAGGGAGGAGGAGGAGGAGGAGGAGGAGGAGGAGGAGGAGGAGGAGCCATAGGGCGGGAGAGGTGGAGAAGCCATCTCTGCCTCATCTTCATGCATCACTGGATCGAGAAGTTGATCTGCGTCTGGAAGAGAGGGGAGGTGCAGAGGCGGAAGGAGGCTGCCTCCTCGGGAGCTTCCGAGCAGGCGAGCTGGAAGTTCTTCGCGGACGCCATCACGCGGCGCTCGTCGAACTCCAAGGTCAACGACTGGCCGAGGCCGTCCCACTCTGGCAGCCTGAGGAGCCCCCCGGCCCTCCTCCTTCTCCTCTTCCGTCCTCTTCTTTCTTCTCCTCCTCCTCCTCCTCCTTATCCTCCTCCTCTGCCCTCCTCCTCCTCCTCCTCATCATCATCAGCAGCAGCATCAGCAGCATCATCAGCATCATCAGCATCATCATCAGCATCATCATCAGCAGCCTCATCATCATCATCACCACCACCATCATCATCATCATCATCAGCATCAGCATCAGCATAATCATCCTCATCCTCATCATCATCATCATCCTCATCACCATCATCATCAACATCATCATCATCCTCATCATCATCATCATCGCCGTCATCACCGTCATCACCATAATCATCATACTCATCACAATCATCATCCTCATCCTCATCAACATCGTCCTCATCACCACCATCATCATGACCATCAACATCATCATAATCATCATCAGCATCATCAGGATCATCATCATCGTCGTTGTCATCGTCATCCTCATTATCATCATCATCAGCATCATCATCGGTATCATCATCACCATCAGTAACATCATCATCGGTATCGTCATCGTCATCGTCATCGTCATCGTCATCATCATCATCATCATCATCATCAGCATCATCATCATCATCATCAGCATCATCATCTTCATCATCCTCATTCCTCATGATCCCCTTTCTCCTCCTCTCCCTCTTCGTACTGCTCTGCTTCTGCTTCTCTGCTCTGCTTTGCTTGCTCTCTGCTGTGCTTGACCCCACCTCTGGCTTTGCTTCTGCTGCTCTTCCTTTGCCTGCACTACTGCTGCTGCTGCTTGCTCTGCTTGCTGGCTCTGCTGTTGCTTTGGCTTACTGCTTGCTTCTGCTTGGCTCTGCGGCTACTGCTCTTGCTCTCTGCTTCTATTCTGCTCTCTGCTTCTGCTCTGCTTTTTCTTCCTGCTTTTCTTGCTTTCCTACCATCCTCCTTCCAATCTTTCTTTCTCCTCTTCCTTCCTGCCCCCCCCTCCCCTCCCCTCCCCTCCCTACTCTTCCTGTCCTAACCTCCTCCTCTTCACCCTCCTCATTCTGCTCCTCCTCCTCCTCCTCCTCCTGCCTGCCTCCCTCCCTCCCTCCATCCCTCCCTCCCTCCTTCCCTCGCTCCCTCCAGCATCCATCCCTTCCATGATAAGTTATCCCTCCCAGTCGCACCCCGAGACATGTCTGCAGGGCGGGCCGTGCGTTTCGCCTATGACTTCCTCAACACGTATAATCCTGAAGCTTGAAATTTGCCACACTTTCCCGGCTGGAGGGCGGCGGGTGGTTTTCAACATGTGAGAGAGCGTGATCCACCGCCGCTTCACTATGGAAAATTTCCCCTCCTCTTCCTCCAGAACCCGGGGGTTCCCCCCACCCCCCCTCCGAAAATCACCCCCCCCCTGCTGGACCCCCCCCCTCCCCTAAACCCCCGCAAAACCCCCCCCCTCCTTAACCCCCTTCCCCCTCTGGCAACCGGGGGGTCACTACCGGCTCGACCCCCCCCCCCTCCGTAAAACGGGGGGGGGTCCCTACCGTTGCGAAACCCCTACCCCCCCGAAAAACTAGACGGGATTCACTACCGTTTCGCTCCCCTCCCCACCTCCAAAACCGGGGAGGGGTCACTACCGGTTCGAACCCCCCCTCCCTCGAAAACCAGGGGGGGGTCACTACCGCTTCGAACCTCCCCCCCCTCCCTCGAAAACTGGGGGGGGTCACTACCGGTTCGAACCCCCGCCCAGCCCCCCTTGAAAACGGGGGGGGGTCCACTACTAGTTCGAACCACCCCCCATCTCGAAAACCGGGGGGGGGTCACTACCGGTTCGAACCCCTCCCGCCCCCCACCCCCCCACGGTCACCGCCAACAAACGACTCCCGGGTCCCTACCACCGTCCGCACCACATCCCCCACTGCTGTCCCCAGCACTACTGTCCTCACCACCACTGTCCCCACTGTTCCCACCACCGTCCCCACTGTCTCCACCAGTGCCCCCACCACTGCACCACGGTCCCACTTTCCCCACGGTCCCCACCACTGTCCCACGGTCCCCACTGTACCCACCACTGTCCCGCTGTCCCCGCCGCTGTCCCACTGTGCTGTCCCACCGTCCCCACTGTCCCCATCACTGTCCCACTGTCCGCACTGTCCCCACCACTTTCCCCAGTGTGCTACTGTCCCACCACTGTCCTCACCACCGCCTTCACCACTGTCCCCACAACTACCGTCACCACCACTGTCCCACTGTCCCCACAACTGTCCCGCTGTCCCCTTACCACTGTCCTCACCACCACTGTCCCCACCACTGTCCGCACAACTGTCCTACTGTCCCCGCACCGTTGTCCCCACCACCACCGTTGCCACGACTGTCCCAGCATCCCCACCATTGGTCAACTGTCCCGAGGAGCGCGGATCGTTTGCCGGCGGCGACGGGGGGGGGTTCGAACGGGTAGTGATCCCCCTCGGTTTTCGAGAGGCGGGGGGGGTTCGAACCGGTAATGACCCCCCCCCGGTTTTCTGGGGGGAGGGGAGGGGTTCGAACCGGTAGTGACCCCCTCTCTGGTTTTCATGATGGACCTGGGGGGGGGGAGTGGTTCGAACCGGTAGGTGACCCCCACCCGGTTTTCCAGGGGGGGGGACGGGTTGGAACCCCTAGTGACCCCGCGGCAGAACACGCTCTTTCCAACATGTGGATCTCGCCTTAGCGCCGCGCGTATTCGCCTTGACAGTTTGCAGCAATTTGCAAGAGTTTCACGGGCGGAGTGGATGGTTTTCAGAATGCAGCTCTCGCCTCAGCGCCGCGCACATTCGTCTTGAACGTTTGCAAGAGCTTCACGGATGGAGGGCGGGCCATCTTCAAATGCGACTCAGGCCTTAGCGCCGCGTACATTCGTCCTATAAGCGTGTGCAGAAGTTTCACGTACGGATGGAGGGCGGTTCTTTTTCAAAATGTGGCTCTCGCCCTAGGGCCGCGTACACTCGCTTTAATGTTTTACAATCGTTTCAAGGACTCGAATGGTTGACGTCCCAAAAACCTGTGCTCTGGCACGAGTTGGGGTTGCCAGGGCGCAACAGTCACGTTGACTCGCGGTGCTGGATTGCCAAGTACGGCGTTCTCGCACGATTCAGGATCGACAGGACGCAATCGCAACGTTGATGCGCGGCGTTGACGTCCCAGTGATGGTGTCTTGGCACGGTGGACAATTTCAGACGGTTATCTTCCATCGGGGCACTTCCCGCAACGAAAACGAATCCTTGTAGGGACCTTTGAGGAGGGAACTTGGTGGGAGGGTTAACGTCGTTGCTGCGTCTTCGGTTTACGCACGTCCCTCGTCCTCCTCCTCCTCCTCCTCCTGTTCCTCCTCCTCCTCCTCTGCCTCCTCCTCCTCCTCCTCCTCCTCATCCCCAGTCCCCCGTCCCCCTCCTCCTCCTCCTCCTCTTCCTCCTCCTCCTCCTCCTCCTCTTCCTCCTCCTCGTCCTTTTCCTTCTCCTCCTGCTCCTCCCTCATCTTTTTCCCTCCTCCTCTCCGCCCCTCCGCCTCCGCCTCCTCCTCCTCCTCCTCCTCTCCCTCCCTCCCGCCCTCCCTCCCTCCCGCCCTCCTCCATCCCTCCCTCCTCTCTCACTACTTTTCCTCCTCCTCGGCCTCCTCCTCCTCCTCCTCCTTCTCCTCCCCAACCTCCTCATTCTCCTACATCCTCCTCGATTCCCCTCTTCCTCCTCTAGGGCGGCCGGAACGTCCGACCCCGTAGCCCTCCGGGCACTGGGGTCTGACGTACAAGAATTTCGACTCGTCGCGACACCCACCAACCCCGACAGAACTGCAGAAACCAGAACACGGCGCGGAACCAGTCCTGCCAGCCCTCTGGGCGCAGGTCATCGTCGTCGGTCCGTCGTCGTCGTCGTCGTCATCCTTGTCGTGGGTCCGTCGTCGTCGTCGTCGTCGTCGTCGTCGTCGTCGTCGTCGTCGGTCCGTCGTCGTCGTCGTCGTCGTCGTCGTCGTCGTCGTCGCCGTCGTCGTCGTCGTCGTCGTCGTCGTCGTCGTCGTCGTCGTCGTCGTCGTCGTCGTCGTAATTCTCGTCGTCGTCGGTGCGTCGTCGTCGTCGTTGGTGAATCGTCGTCGTCGTCGTCGCCGTCGTCGCCGTCGTTAACGCGTCGTCGTCGTCATCGTCGTCGGTCCGTCGTCGTCGTCGTCGATCCCTCGGTCGTCGTTGCTCCGTCGTCGGTCGTCGTGGGTCCGTCGTCGTCGTCGTCGTCGTTGTCGTCAACGGTCCATCGTCGTCGTCATCATCGTCGTCATCGTCGTCGTCGGACAATCGTCGTCGTCGTCGTTGTCGTCGACGTCGTCACCGGACCATCGTCGTCGTCGCTCCGTCGTCGTCGTCGTCGATCCCCCGTCATCGTCGTCGATTCGTCGTCGTCGTCGTCGGACCGTCGTCGGTCGGTCAGACTCGGGCAGTCGTCGTTCCGTCGTCGTCCGTCGTCGGACCGTCGTTGTCGTCGTCGGCCCGTCGTCGTCGTCGTCGTCGGTCCGTCGTCGTCGTCGTCGTCGCCATCGTCGTCGTCGTCGTCAACCCGTCGTCGGCGTCATCGTGAACCAATTGTCGTCGCTGTCGTCGTCGGTCCATCGGTTCGTCGTCGTTGCTCCGTCGTCGTCGTCGGTCTTTCGTCGACGTCGTAAACGCTCGTCGTCGTCGTCGCTCCCTCATCGTCGTCGTCGCTCCCCATCATCGTCGTCGGTGCGTCGTCGACGTTGTCACCATCGTCGTCGTCGGACCGTCGTTGGTCCGTCGGACGGTCATCAGTCCGTCGTCGTCGTCGTCGTCGTCGTCCTCGTCGTTGTGATCGTCATCGTCGTCGTCGTCGGTCCTTCAATCGTTGTCGGTCCGTCGTCGTCGTCGTCGTCGTCGTCGTCGTCGTCGCAATCACCATGACGGTCGTCAACCCGTCGTCGTCGGCGTCATCGTCGTCAGTCCGTCGTCGTCGCCGTCGGTCCATCGGTCCGTCATC